CTCTCTCTCTCTCTCTCTCTCCATCTTTCTCAGGTATTCCAGGGCTAATCGTGCTCCTCCCAGTTACGAGAAGAAGAAGAAGAGAGGACACGCGGGAAACTCCGGCGCGGAGAATCACGACGGAAGTTATCCGCGCGCTTGGCTGTAAATTAGCCGCAGGTAGTCGCCCCGGGAGCGCAGGTACATCGCGTTGGATTGTTCATATATTTCTGCTGGTACCCACGCGCGCCGCCGCCTGCTCGGTGTAAAATACATTATTTTCGTGCGTCGATTGCGGAACCAACCTCTGTGTCCCGCGTCTTTATTTACCGCCGTCCCGCGACGATACGTTTGAGCATCGCGGTGTATTGGCAGGCTGTAAAAGTTGTACGCGGAGGACTTTTCGCCGAGGGAATTTCTGCCTGCTCGAGCTCTGCTTCGAAGGCCGATTTTAGATAGAGAATTTAGACAGAGTTTTGCATGCTTGAAACGTTTATCGATCGGACAGAGTTTTAAATGCTTGAAGCATTTAATGTTTGCGCGAGATGCAGATGGTTTGTTTCTTCATTTCTATAGATTCTATTCTAGAATTTCTAGAGACCATGATAGTCACCTAAAAATTTGAATTCCATTAGGTACAGCAATAATTGTAGTAGCTGAAGTAAATTACACACGAGTGTCTTGTTCGGTTGTAAAAACCTAAATCTGTTCAAGGCGAAGGTTTAGGCGACACGGCTCGCAAATTTACAATTATTTAGGAAACCCTCTCATCTGGCCACCAGAAGCGGCAGCCTGCCGACCGACCAGATGAACCAGGACTCGACCCTACAATACAACAAATATTTAACAACAATACCCCCACCCTCTCGACACGACAGTCACCCCCGGAATACTCACAAAAATCCAATCAACACTCTTCAACCACCTCCACTACACATTTAAACAGCGAATAGAAGCACACAGCAAGTTGATAAAATAGCACGCACAGACACTTCGATATTATTATTACAAGCACCAACAGTCACTTACTTACTTATCTGGTTAACTATTTTAAATACAAGTATATCGTTGTTCAACATTGTGTGATTACTCAAAATTCAATACAGTCCACTACGTCTCCATCGCATCCTTCGAAAGACTTCACTGAAGATTGCAAAATTAACAGTTCGAAGTCCGCGTCATCAAATCGTCGCAAATTCTAACGTCGACGCTGTGACGCGACCAAACATGTCTATTTGCGATAAATCCGAAAAATCCAATCGTACAGATAATCCAAGTATCCCCACCGATTTCAGACGAATTTCAAATTTCTCGATAGGTAACAATCAATCACATCATTTCACCGATCTCACAGATAGAGATGTACAGGATATTCAGTAACATGCAGCAGTCATCGAAAGAAACAAAAAAATGTGAACAAACACGAATACAAAAATCATTCTCGACAGATCAATCATACGAAATGGTATCGTCACTGGTTTCGTTCGAAACTTGAACGTCTCAGTAAGCAGTGATCAATCACGTTTCACCCGATTTCAGATCCGCATTAAACCCATTGTAATTCTCTGTAGCAATTTCGAAAGATTGTCCAGAACCCTTCGTTTCCATCCACTTTGAACAGAGAAGCAACCGAAGGTTCATCGGACAGTTCTCGCGTAACCGCGTACAGCTTACACAATCGTACAACTCGCGACTCACCGGTGAACAAAGAGAGACACCGACGCGAGAGTTTCTCATTTACCTTGGACCCCTTCGATAAATTACGCCCTCCCCTGTTTGCTCGGAACAGCGACAGCCGAGGCGTTCCCAGTAGTTGGAACGTCTCTGGGACCTTAACACACATTCGAAGATGGATCCTTTGGATGGCGTACGAGGGGAAAGGAAGAGAGAGAAAAAGAAAGGATCTTCTTTTTCGTACAGTGATCCCTCCTCGCGTGGTGGTGGAATGCGAGACACGCCAGTGTTCTGGCCACACTACCTTGGACACATTCAATTTTAACGTTAATAATCACCGGGAAAAATGACGGGCTTAAATGCGGCCATTTATCAGCGGCGATCGATATTGCGAATGCGGCTTAACGACGGAGAGATAGCATCAGCCGTCCCGGTTCAGAGTTATTGAATCGCGTCAAATAATATACGAGCCAATAATGTATGAATAGTCCTGCAATTATGGGGCCAGAGATGGTATCTAAAGGCGCGTTGTAATTTAGTAATCGTTCATTCTCACCCAATATCCCACCAACACTCCCAGTCGCGTAAACACTTGTTCCTTTGTTTTATTATCATCCTAACGCCGTTGTTCTTCGCTCTTACAACTCACCGTCGTTCGATCCGTCGTATTAATATTATCAGTTGGTAGGAATTGTTTTTTTCAACGTACGCTCGAGCGTCGAAACGCTATCGCTTCATGAGTAACGCGAGTTTTCAAAAGAAGGTACGCGGTCGATGAATTTTCACGAGAGGATAATACGTCTTGGTGAAATTTTTCCCCGTAGAAACGATTCGCTGGGGATCATTCATAACCCTAGTTGAAATCGATATCTATCAATTAAACGATCGGTCAGTAACGGCGTAGCAAGGAACGGCCGAGGCGAGGAAGTAATTTGAAGTCCGACGTTTGTAGTTAAGCGCGGCAAGTGGGAACGGAACGACCCCGCTCCTAGATAATTAATTTCCCGCTTTAATTAATCATCCGCGTGATTTTATCGAGCAGGGCTGGGTCAAGTAACAATAACGATCGCGTAAATGCCAGCCCCTTATCGGTTATCGCGTTCCTTTCCAACCGTTGATTTAATACCGAGAATCTATCTGTACCAATTAACGAAACGACCGAACGATCTCTCCGGCTAATTTCCACCTTGTGAAATCCACGTCGAAATGCCGGCTGAAACAACCTTGAAACTCGAGAAAGAAAGGGGAAAAGAGAGTCTGTTGGACAACAATAAGCAAGAATCGCCACGGGCGTTTATGATTAATCGGCGTGGGACTAGCGGGCGCATTTTTAATTAACCGCTGCCACTGAAACGTGACAGCGGGAGAGCTGGGAATCGTGGACGATAAAGGCGGCGATCGGTCGATAACGATGTCTCCTGTGAGGCGCTCGGACTGCGAGTTTCAGGCAGCGAGAGAACGGTGCAAACGAGTCTGAAAGCCTCCTCTTCTGCTTCTTCTCCTCCGCCAACCGGGGAGATAGTCCTTGAAGGTTGGTCGTAAGCAACCGATCTTCTGGTACCCGGGCCCAGTCAACCGATCCAGACACCGGCTCGCGCATGCCTCCGGTGCACAATGCTTGGTAGTACTGCAGCTGATACAAGTATGTTCGCCGTGCAACCGGAATTTTAATTGGCTATTTGTTTGTCCGCTACACTTCGCGGCGCTGCTATTGTCCGGCCTCTCTCTCTCTCTCTCTCTCTCTCTGCTCGAGAAGAACGATCACCGTTTCTTCCCCTCTTACACCCACCCTTCTTTTCCATCCGAACATTCTCTTCCCTCTTCTATCCAATCTCTAAGGTGGTGAAAAGTCTTTTTTTCTTCGTTCGTGAGAGATCTTTTCATCCCCTCCGTCTTCGAGAGTTGGTTCTTTTTCAACTTGTCTCTGTAGAGAAGTTGAACTAACGCCTCGAGTGAAGTCTGTGTACACACGAAGCATACAGATTTTTCGTACTACCTCTCTCTCTCTCTCTCTCTCTTTTTTTATCTCGTACACGTTCACTGTTAGGAAACGATGCAACGAAGATTAAGACCGGATGAAATTGCAGTTATTACGCCGGGGACCGGATCGAGGGCCTGCATGTATAATCCCGCGTCACAATACGTATCGTTTCGCGGTACCACTTATCGAGTCATTAAGCGTTATGCGGTGTAATTGCGCGCTTTTTACCGGGACCGTTGGTACCGCGACGGACATTAATCATCGATACGATCTTCTTTCGACGCCGCCATTGCGAATGTCTCAATTTACTCGACTGGCTGTTGCCGGCGCGAGCACCCAGAACTCTGTCTCTCTCTCTCTCTATCTTTCTCGTTCTCTCTGTTCCGTGTGGGTCCTCGTTGGGATTTATCTTCGTCGAATCTAATTTCGCCGCTGCCTGCGCGCTGCGAAATACGAATTTAATTCACCCGGGCAACCCCGTTCCCGTGGTGGTTTCTCTCCGGTCGGTAACGCGTCCTAATAAATTAGCGAGCGACAAGTCCGCGATTCGCTTTAATCGCCGGTGCAAGAACCGACGCGGACCGCTTGTCCGCGCTGGATCGAGCTCTCTTTCGCGCGACCGACCGAGCTCTGCTCGACCACTGCCCGAAGCGGGCAGAAGGAACGCCGCGCTGTGCGGTTTTTTTGCGAGCGCGCGGAACTTATTCCAATTAAAATCGTACCTCTATTTTAGGTCAGCCTTCTCGCAGAGGTCCGGCCTCGAATTAAACGAGGCTCTCCGTGTGCCGGAGAAAGCCGCTTGCGACGATCTCCTAAATAAGCCAATCGAACGTAAAAGCTTGTCGCTTGCGTAACAGTGTGTATCTCTTTTCTTCGTGCTCGTGACCGACGACGCCTTTTTTTTTTGCATCTTGCTCGTTAATCGATAGGGTTGGGTTTCGTTGTGCAATTGGTAGAGAGGGTGGAGTAACGAGGTATGCGTTTTATCTTGATCCGTTTGGATCACAGGTGCAAGGCTTTTGCTATCTTCTAGTGGAGGTACGGTTTAACGAAGTGTTCTTGCGCAATCTGTTGCAGTTTATGAGAGGTGGTGTGATCTTGTGGAACGATCGAGGAATTTATAGGA